GCGGGCTTTTCCAAAATTTGTCCCAGTGTAGACGGGCCAAATTTCGGAAAAGCCTCTTCCGGAAAAAAATCTGAAAAAGCTTTAGTGTAGACCTAGCCAAAAGTTGTCCGACATTAACCAAAAAGTATAGTTAAAGGGACACAACCCCAAATAATGTGAGATAGTTATACTGGCATAAAGATGCTCATTCTTTCCTGTATAGGAGTTGTTGGGTATAACTATATTGGTATAAATCACACCCCTAACATATACAGTTAGTGCACTGTACAAGATATGCTGTGTGTGGCAAGCTTTAGCTATGTTACAGAAGTTTCTCAGAAAGACAAATGAATGCTTGAATTCTCACTTGCACTAGTCCCTTTTACACCATTTGGGTAGTGGAAAGGTATCCTAAAGTGGAGGTTTATGAATGTATGGCCATCTCAGGACCCCTTTCTCCTGCCAAAAGCTAGGTAAAGGGGCCTTAGAATCAAGCTTTTGGCTCTGGGCTTTGAAACAATGGGCCAAAGGCGTCAATGTAACCATGCCTCTTGGTTTTGTTTCTGTTCTTCTGCATTCAGACGGAGGACCACTTGGATCTGGTAAGTTGCCTTGCTGTGTGTGTGTTTTCTTAGCATCTTTTTGTTTCCTTTAACACTTCCCTAAACACCAGGCCTGGAGGGATGGGGGATTAAAGAAGGCATTGAACACTGTGGGCCTGATATTTACATTTTATTTACTCCATGGCTCCATTTACAATATACTGTTGGTACAAAGGAACCATAAAGTTAGTATAACTATAATTTCCAGGGCTATTATTCTACAGAGCAACAGAGAATTAGGTTTAGGAGTCTATGTGTCAGGGAAAAACATTTTCTCCGTGGCAAAGAAAAGCTATAGGCCTAGGTCCCCAGCTGTTTTAAATTAGCACAGTTCCATTGAAGTCAAAGGACTCTTTAGCTGGCGTAAATTGGTGTCACTTTATTGGAGTCAATGGGCCAGATCCCTAATTGGTATAGACTGGTAATACTCCATTGGAATCAGTGAGCCAAATCCTCAGTTGATGTAAATTGGCGTCAGTTCAGTAAGTTCAAAAGAGCTACACTGATTTACGCTACTCTGGGCATCTGGCCTAAAGCAGGAAAGAAAACGAGTCCTTCAAATACAAAGGCGAACTCAGAAAGGGAAAGGGAAATCTCAATCCACCATCCCACAAGTTCATTCACGAGAACGAATTTCTGCGGGGGAACGCGGCTTCTCGTTATTTTTATCGCTCTTCCTGCCAGCAAAGGGAGTGGTGTCACCTTGTTGGTGACAATAATACCATTTTGTCCTGATGCTATTCTGGTGCAGTACACACTGGTAATAGGGTCGTGGCAGTCAGGGAAGGTTGGAATAGCCGTAAATCATGGTCTTACAGAGCAATGGCTTGCAGAACTCTGATAGAAACGGCTCTCTGGAGGCAAGTGGGTATAGATACAGGCAAGTACCTTTTCCATCCTGTTAGCTGGCAGAGTAGTCTTGCATCTGCTTTACTCACTAGTTCTGGGCAACCGTAGGCAAGACATTTCCCTGTTTGATCCCTCAGTTTTCCCTTCTGTAAAATGGGGATAATGGACCACTTGAGCTCTGCTGATAAAAAGTGCTGTATAAGAGCTAGATAGTATTATTGCTGCAATAACCCAGCCCATTTAGTGCACTCCCCTAGCTCTACTAACACAAAGATCAGCTCAGATCTTTTCCCCACATTTGACTTCCTCCATATTGCTCATCCCACACCCCAGATCCTCTTTCTATAAACATCCTTTCCTACCTCCTTTATACACAGGCAGGGCTATGAGTCACCAGCCTCTCAATGAGTCAGCAGAACCCACTTAACCCTTTGCCAGCAGCAGGCTCAACCCCTGCTAACAACGTGGGTGTGTTTCTGGCAGCTTCTAAACCAGAGATCCTGGAGAGAACCACAAATGATTTAAAGGGACACTCCCTTATTCCTAGACATTAGACTGCATCTCTTAATTTGAAGTGAAGAGCAACCCCCATCCACCAAGCCTTCTGTGACAAGAGATTTCACCTGGGAGCATGTGTGCATGATGTCGCAGTGCTCTTGAATGGAAGTGTGCTACTCCACACCATTAACAAGCTCACATGGCTGTCAAAATAACCCGGGAGAGTGGGAGAGCATTAAAATGCTGACAAAATTTGCCTGCATGGAGAGGCACTAAAACTTTGTTAATTATAACAACCTGGCGGGGTGTGAAATCACAGCAAGTTTTAAGTTGCTGACTTGATTGCAGTCTTGGAGTCTGATTTTCCTTTACACTATGGCCCGTTTATACCGCTCAGGGGATACGTGTAAATTACACTTAGACCTACTCGAAGAGGCCCCTTTCCCTGGCCAGAATGGTGGGAAAGGACCTGAGGTCCTCTGCGCTTTAAAGTTTTGTCATCTTGCTATTGGTGTATCACGCCTGCAGAACGGAAGAGGCTGTCTCGTCTCCTGTGCTCTTTAAGGGAGTTGTTTTTCAGATTCTTTTCGGGGGCGGGGGGAGAAAGCTGCGAGTTTGTCTTCCTCCTGAGTTTCCCCGGGAACATCATCGAGTCAGGGAATAAGACTAACCCTTACAGGCTCAAATCCGGTTCTGCGCAGAGAGGGTTTGCAGAAAATCAATGCATCTCCAAAGGGTTTGTCTCCAGTGGAGGGATTGACCGGAATGGATATTGTGGAATAAACTGTTCCACAAAAATGAATCCAGAAGCACTCTTGTGTGGACACTCCAACTCTGGAATAACTGTAGCGCTTTCTAAGGGATTTGTCTACACGTGAAACTTATTCCAGATTAAGGAGAGGTGTTACTTTAAAGCAGAACAGCTATTCTTGGAGAACTCTGTGTGGCCTGATCTACACTAAAGGGGAAAGTCAACTTAAGATACACAATTCCAGCTACCTAGCCTGTAGTCTAAGTATCTTACGTCGTGTTTGGTGCTGTCTACACAGCGAGAGGTTGACAGGAGCGAGCGCGCGCACACACACACACGCACCCTTCTCCCCCCCCCCCCCATGGTTTCCCTTACTCCTCTTGAGAAGCAAGACTATCTGTGCCAATGAGGGATCCCTTTTAGTTCAAATGAGAGAGTCTTCACTAGACCTGCTAAATCAAACCCTGGAAAATGGACTGTAGCAGCGTTGATCTTCCGCGTAGTGTAGACATGACCGGTGTGAGCCCTGTAATTCCGGAATAAGAGTGGCTTTTTGTGGTTTAGCGCTTAATCCACTTCCAAAGTGGATTAAGCTAATTTGGAATAAGGTACTCTTTATTCTAGAATAAGAGCGTTTATACATGGACTTGTTCCAGAATAGTTATTCCTGAATAGCTATTCCAGAATAACTCCAGATGTAGACAAGCCCTCAATCTACCTTATTCTGAAATAATTTCTTGTAGGCACACTCCTCCATATTCCATTTAAATCCTAGTTTGAAAACTAAGAGCTGTATTCTCCACTGCCCCTTAGGCAAAGTGGTTGCAAAGTACCACCCATCTCATCTGGTAGCACTTCGCACTTGTTTTGCTCTGGTGTGAATCACAAGGTGCCTTTACCCAACTCTGATGGGATAAAGGGACTTTAAAGTGAAAGTGACTGTAATTTACTGCCAGAGCAGAGGAAAGGAATGGTAGAGACTGATCTACGCAGTTATCTTCATTAGGAGCATGAAAAAGACCACGTCTACACTACCATCAGATCTGCTTTGTGCGGACACAGCCTGCCCCAGCGGAAGGAGTTTTCCTGTTGGAATAGTAACACCACTTCCTGAAACATTAGTTAAGCACTCTTCTATACAAGCGAAAGAACTGGGTTGCCAATATAAGATTCTTCTCCATTTAGGAAGGTACCAGCAAACCTTTTCTAGTGCTGAAAAGGCCTTAAGTGTAAATGTGAATCAGGCTCAGGAGATTGGGACCCTTGATATGAGTGACATGCTGCATGGTCCTTGGGCTGACCTTCTGCCCCAAGGTGGTTTCTAGCTCTGTTTTCCCTTCCCTGTGTCTAGAAGCTGTGTTCCTGATAAACTGTGCGCTTGGCTGGCCACCCTGGAGAGTTTCAAGTGCCGCCCAGATGATTAGCTGAGCACCCTCAGCTGGCAGCATGTGTTTCCATTGGTGGTGTACATCCACACATGCCTTGGTGCACATAACAAAATTTATTCTGCACATAGGTGGAAAAAAAGTTAGAGAGCATTGTCTAGAAGCTCAGGTAAGGTCTGCTGGTTAGTCTCTCAGGAGCCAGAGAGGAAAGAAAATCCTTTTGGAAGGTCAGGGTCGGAGCAGCAATAAATCCAATCCCAGAAAGCAGTTGTCTGATTGGCTTGCTACCATGGACTGGCTGTATCCCAAACCAAATGCCTCTTGGACTTGATGTGACCTTCCCAGAAACAAAGGTGAAATCCTAGCCACCATGAAGGCATTTGTCTTAAATATTCTTAACCCACGGAGCAGCAGCCACAGCCTGGACTTTTGCTGGCTGCAGGATGCGCGCCTGGAAGGCCTGTTTTCTCCACCTTCTAGGGTTTAGTCGACACGGAGCCGAACCGCACACTGAACAGAGCAACCTGCTGCTTTGCAAAGAACTGGCTGCAGAAACTGGCGCGCTAGGGTGCTTGGAGGCAACTGTCCCCCTCAACTCCCATTGAATGAGCATGGAGAACAACTCGCTGTCTCGACCGAGGCCCTAAATGACCCACCGGGCATCGAGCCATGCCAAGCTTGGGCTAAGCTGGATTCACTGTTAGGCTTCATTGGGGGTGACATGTGCCTGGGTGTTTCGGATTAAAGTCAAGCCGCTTGAGTCCAGATTAACATAGACAGCCCGGATGATCTGGTTTGCAAAGAGGGCTGAATCATGCCCTCGGAGACACCCAAGTAGCTCCCAGTAAAACCAGTGCAATGTGGGAGGGGTTAGGTCAGGGGGGCAAATACTGGCTCACAGGCCGGATCTGGTCTGCCAGGGTTAGCCCCCACGCCGCCGTTTTTGCCTGTGCAGGTATGCGGAATTGTAGCTCCTGATGGCTGCAGATCACCTCTGCTGGCCAATGGGAGCTGTGATCACCTGTACCTGAGGAGATGCAGGTAAATATAGTGGTTGCGGCCAACCCAGAGCTAAACCTGGTGAACTGCTACTGTTTTATTGCCCACCTCTGGGCTCGGTACGGCTATCCCAGAGCAGAATTTTTGCATGGTTTGATAATGGGCCTCAGGGTCCACTCTTAAAATGGGGGCTTCTTAATGAGGGAGATCCACAAATCTCATTCGGGACCCAATCCTGTGAGGAATTTAGCACTGCTGAGAAATGCTGAGTGCCCCTGATTCCCATGGAAGTCTTAGGCATGTTCAGTGCAGGGGTGGAGGAGGTTAAGCTGGAGTTAAGTCGCCTTTGTCCTTCTCTGACCTGATCTCCAGTTACACTAGGTCCCTTCATTCCATGCTGGTAGCACAAAGGGGCCTTAAACTGAGTGTAGAACAAGTTGGGCAAGTTAATTTCGCTCTGTGCCTCAGTTTCCCCCTCTGTACAATAAGAGCAGCGTCCTACCTCACAAAGGGGGTCGTGCCAATCATAGAATCAATGATAGAATACTAGGACTGGGAGGGACCTCGAGAGGTCATCGAGTTCAGTCCCCTGCCCTCATGGAATCCAATACCTTGGACAAGTCAAATTCGCTCCGTGCCTCAGTTTCCCCATCTGTACAATAAGAGCAGGGTCCTACTTCATGAAGGAGGTAGTGAGGAAAATTGCATTAAAGACTGCAGTGTGCTCATGTACTAGGGTGTTGGGAACCAGATAATTACCTATGATAGTCTTTCCAGCATGTAAATTAGAATCACTTCATGGCATTCATCCGTAAGGGTAAAATTCATCCCCGGTGCAGAGTGTCAGCACAAGATCTGTGCAAGCCAGCAAAATAGGATTTAAGTGGGATAGTGTTCCCTCTAATTTTTTCCCATCTGTGTGCAGAATAAATTTTGTTTTGTTCACCAAATCATGTGCGGATGTGCACCACTAATAGAAACACCTGCTGTGGGTGCTCAGCTAATTAACTGGGTCACCGTCCAAGTGCCCAGCTGACTGGGAATGCTGGCCATAGGATCTCTGTGCAGAGTGAATGTCCCTGAAAGCATTGCTACCACCTCTGCTGCTGTTTCGGTTTAAAAAGAAGCATCTCTTTGAACCAGTTCACTTTGGCTGGTTTGCTTATGGCAAGTTACATTGAACCAGAGTCTCGTTTAAGGCCTTTTTTCCCTAGTCAGCCAGGGAAATGGCACCTTAGTGCCCTGGTGAATCAAGCCCGGGGTATTTTAAACATCAGAAGGGGGGGAAAAAAACCCAGCACAAATGATCCAGCAAGGGGAGGGTATATGGGCCCTGGAATCTGTTACTGATGGATTTGAACATGGCCTGGTGTTTTAGACTGCGGTGTACGACAATCGCCCCCATGGCTCAGACAAGCAGTCTACCTGGCTTATTGTACTGTAGCAGGAGCCAGCAATCCTACTGCCCGTCGGTGATTACGGCTGAGAGTTTGGAAACCTAACACACTGATGGTTTTAACACCTCCGGCTTATAATTCCTTCTCTTTTTGCTTCCCCAGCAGAACGCACAGAGGTTAGGAGTTTCCCAAGCAACTCATTCTTTAACTACACCAGTCGTATCAGTGGCCACTCCGAGTTTGTTGAGCCAAGGCCTGCCTTTTTCTGCCATGCCCACCGCATACAACACAGGTAAGTCAATTGGACATGACATTATGGTGTCGGTGGGAACGGATAAGTGTCCTGTTGCCATGACGGGGTCAGCTTTCCTCACACAATGCACAAACATCCTGTGGAACTCCTTGCCACAAGATATTGCTGAGGACAAGAGGGTCGCAATATTTTTTTTCTTCGTTTGTTTTGAAAGAGTGGCCATTTATTTGGCTAATGAGAACATCCATTGTTACATCCGTAAGGATTTTAAAGATGTGACTTTCATTTATAGGAAGGCCTCGTTACTCCGTGTAAAAGTGCCCTGCAGTGGGGTGTTACGTACAGTTTACATCTGTGGTTAAAGAAATCTTAGTGCAAATGAGCAGCCAGACCAAAACCCAGCATGCCGCTGGGCATAAGCCAGTTGCTAACTGATGGGGGGGTTAGGAAGAAAGTGGGGGACAATCCGGTGACTCTACAGGACCTGGGGCTCCAGCCAGAGCCCTGGGTCCTTTAGAAATGCTGCACGGTGCACTCCAGGTGATTTTTTGGGGGGAGGGGGAAATCCGTCCAGGGCTGGGAGCTGGCTGCCCTAGTCCTGCCTCTTTCAGCACCACAGGACCCTTCCCCACTTCCCAAGGGCCCAGCATTCTTGTCGGCTCCCCTTAAAGGAAGAGAGATGAAAGTAACAAAACACTGTCCCCAGAAAAGGCATTACGCCTCTGGAACCAGTCCCACACCCATGCAGAAGGGAAGGGTTCTCGGTTTCTTGTCTAACTCAGTTTGGCACTTGCTCAGAGACTATCTTGTAAAAATGCTGCATGAAGTTGTTTGTCTGGGAGAGCCCAGGGTAGGCATGTGGGGAACACCCTCTAATTACTAGGTGTAACCTCGCAGATGTCTGCTCCCAGGCAAGGAGAAGTCTCCTCTCGGGTGGATTTCAACTTGCTCAGAGCACCCAGTGCCAGGGCCCGACAAGAGATTGTAAATGGAGCAGAGGTGGGGGCTCACGCCCTGTGCACAGGGGTGAATTTCAGCCTCTCTCTCTCTCTCTCTCTCTCTCTCTCTCTGGGCTTGTCTTGTGAAGACACCAAAGGGGAAAAAAGGGTTCCCACGTGGCAGCCTGAATTAGGGATGCTAGATATCGGTTCATTGAAGAAACATGTAACTGCATCAAACGTGAGCGGTTACACAACTATTCGATAGTTCCCAGTGGCGAGAGTGGCAGCCAGCACGCTCCCAGCCGCACTCCTGGAGAGTCCCCACCCACCCGCACTGCTGCTTCGGTATCAGAGGTAGCAGCGTAAGGCAGCAGCAGCCCCTGTCGGCGGAGAGCCCTCCACGGACAGAGGCTACTCCAGCATCCCACGGAACAGCCTTTGTCCCCAACAAGCTTGGGCCCACCACTGACAGAGGCTGCTCCGTGGCAGCCTCCCCTGCCGCCTCCCCACCACGCTCCTGCCTTCTACTGGCTCCTGCCTGCCGCCCTCATCTTCTGCACTGCTGCCTCTAGATCAGGAGCAGCAGTGGGGGAGGGGAGGAGGCAGTTCTGTGGGATCCAGTGCTCATGGGGAGCCAGCATTAAAAGCTGGCTCCACATGTTCACACCCGACTGCTGCCTCTGATAGAGAGGCAGCAAGGTGGGGCAATGCGGGTAGCCGATAGAATTGGCCAACAAGCCCAGGGTTATCAGTTAATCGTGTAGTCCAGGGATGGCCAACCCGCAGCTCGCGAGCCGCATGTGGCTTCCCCCCGTTAAAGTACGGATCACAAAGCCTCCCCCATGGCCCCGTGGCTCATGAAGCTGCCCCTGTGCCCCTAGATATGGCCTATACTCGCCAGGTTAGATGCTCGCAGGTTAGATCGCCATCTGGCGCGGCGATTCAAAATGGCGTTGGCAAGATGGCCTCGGCTGATGTGAGCCTGATCTTGCCAAAAAGTCTTCTCTTTTAAAGGAGCAGCAGAGGTTTTTTTTTTTTTGGTCAACAACTCGGGGGGAGCTCTTCCTTTTTTTATTTTATTTTATTTTGCCTCAACAACAAATATGCTCAAAAAAATTCGGGTGCGGCTCTTCGCATTTATTCGCTGTTTCGGCTCTCTTCATTTAATGGGTTGGTCACTCCTGGTGTAGTCGACTACAGGTTAATATCCCTAGCCTGAACATTTGACTAAAATACCTGATATTAGAGATGCTATTATGATGATCATTGCTTATATTGCTGCAAGGCCTCACTATCTCCGATGAGATCGGGGCCCCATTGTGCAGCATGCACACAAAATGAAGGACAGTCTCTTCCCCAGAGACTCACTTTTCCTCTGCCCTCTGACCAGGCAGACTATTTTTCTGCTGTCCCACATGCTACCCAATGAGCCAATCTGCTGTTATTAAACAATAACCATTTCCACAATGAATTAAACTAAACTCCGTTAAGCCCACTTGAATTTTGAATGGGAGCATTCACACGGGAGCTTAATCTGGTTTCACTAACCCCCTTTCAGTTCACACCTTTAGGTAATTAAGATTCATTTGCCCAAGTGTCCCCTTATAGACAATCTCAAATTAGGGGTTAGCTGGAATTTGAGCGGCTTTGGGTTTCAGATAGTGTCCTTCATCCAGGAGAACAATATAACCTCCTCAGCAGTGTGTATTACTTGCCCCCTGTATGCCTGCTCTGAACTAGCTCAAACTGTAACAATGTCAATTTTCACTTGTGGGAAAATCTGCAATTCAATCCCCAAGTGTTGTCCAAAGCTGATGGCTGTCTCACCCAGCGGCCATACAGTGCTACCAAGCCTGAATAGATCATAACCGGTGTCAGTGACCCAGCCAGGCACAGAGCCGAGGAGAAATCAAACACTGGGTCTTTCTGGTGGGTGTGCCTCAGACTGGTAGAGTCACTTTGGCAACCTTTCAACTCCCCTTCAGCCATCTCTTTGTGACAAGCTGCTGCAGGCAGGTTTGTCCCTGCAGGGGTGGGGAAGATTGAAACCACAAACGCCAACATTGAGGGGTGGGGTGCAGTGGGTGATGAGTTGCACCCAGGAATTCTGGCTCTATTGCAAGTACATCAAATGCTGAGACAATACAGTAGCACCGCCTTTGATCAAAGGTCGTTTTTTTCCCCCCAGAAACAATTATCTGGCAACACTCAATTACTCACAGCTTGGCCAGCCCTTCTGAATTTACAGCAAGTTCTATGCTGTTTGGTCTTCTGACAGCTCTTGGTCCTAGAGTCATGTGATTATATGAAACTTAAAAAAGATTAAGTACATTTCTAGCCCTCATGATTGCAGAGAAGAGCTGGAAAACATGATTCCTCAATGCTCAAAAAACAGATTTTTAAGCCAGTCTTATGGTTTTTCAGGGACATGATTCATGATGTTTAAACACCTGAGATTGACAAAACTGTATTTGTCTCTTTGGGATTAATATGCATAACAGATGTCTACAAAGAGGATAAAGACTTTTATATATAAAAAGTACTGTGTTGTAGACTAAAGAGGCCTTATCGTAAAGTAAGGCCCAGTATCTCTCTGTGTATAGTTACTAAATCTCTGCACACACATACACAAAAATTGTCACTAAGAATTTGCCCTCCCCCATCATCTTTCCACACAATAATTCATTTTTCAGGGCACCAAAATGATTTGTGAATTTAAATCAAATTTGAAAAATAGTTTCAGCCAAACCTCTTCACCTCTTGGGTGAGATGTACTAAAACAAACAAACAAACAAACCAAAAAACCTGAAAACAAATCTCTGAAGTATCAAAATGTTTGTGTAGAAAATATCAAAATCATTTATTTTGATATTTAATTTCAAATGGAGTTTTGAAGCAAAATGTAAATTTGAATTAATGTTAAAAATATTTTGTTTCACCTAAGTGAAACCATTTTGGTTTTTTGTTTTGTCTGGAAAACTGGGGGAAAAAATCCATTTGGTTCAAAACAAATTGATTTTTTCCGGTTTTATTTTTTTAATTTGGCTACCAAATTAAAAGGAACAAAACTAACTCAAAACTAACAACAACCTTTTTTTCCCCTCAGCTTTAGTAGTTAGTATATACGAATGCCATCTATTGGAATGTGAGAATAGGGTGTGTAGTATTATTCATAAGTTTATATGTTTGATAAAATTGTTGTTCCATAGTTGAGAAACTATTTAGATAAGCTATTGATGGTCCAAGACCTTATCTACACAAGAGAGTTGCACCAAACTAAGGTCTGTTTCAAAACCGGTTTAATTAAACCAGTGCAAATACTCTTATTTCAATGTAAGAAACTAAATTAATTCAGTTGAACTGATCCCTAACCCTAACTCCAGTTCATCTGATGAAGTGGGTTTTACCCAGGAAAGCTCATGATTCTCTATATTTTGGTGAGTCTCTAAGGTGCCACTGGATAACACATCGTTTTTTAAATAAACTTGGTTGAAACTGAAATAAGAACATTCATACAAGCATCTAGAACAGGAGCAACTTACTGGGTTAGACGCATTCTGATTCCAGTCACTTCTCCTCTCAGTGGAGAATGACTTGAATCAGAGGCCAGTCCTGCATGGCAGCAGCATGCCAGGTATATCTGCCTCTGTTTCTCCTTTGAGAGTTCCCCCAAAGGAATCTCGTCTTTCTTCGTGCCCAGTTGTCCTTGTGGGGCTAATTTCTTACAGAAGAAAGCCTCTGTGTGCATAACAAAGACTCAATACCATAGCCCAGCGAGCAGATCCAATATAGCCCTGATATTGCTCACCATGCGCCATCTCTGCCAGCACAGCCAGCCAGCCCTTTGCACTGCGGTGTAATCCCACAGTTCCCTGTAAGAACCCCTCACCCTTTCTGCTGGGAGCCAGCAGGAAGCAGGTTAGCACCTGCCATACTACCCTGCCTTCATCCTACTCCAACCCTTAGCTCCAGCTTACAACCAGCAGGTGGCTCCCTCTGTGCTGCTCCTCCTGCTGTCAGCATGTACAGCACCTAGCACCCTGCGGCCTCCCGTCTGCTACCATATTAATAAGAAGATGACAAGATTTTTAGAAGGCTGAGTCAGGAGGAAGAACGGAGAGGAGGGGGTGGCTGTGCACTGGTGGGTGGAGTGGAGCAGATTAGGAAGCCAAGACAGCTTGTGTCTGATTACGCAGGAGGATCACATGGAGTTTGTTAAAGTGATGGCCTTGCTGATATGTCAGCTAACTCAATTAAACAGCAGCAAGATCAATGTCTGCAGCCGCTTTTATCATGCCAGACATCTCAAGGAGCTTTCATAACAAAACAAGACGCTGATCAAACACAAAAAGTTGATTATTCCATTAAGATGCAGGCGCGTCTTTTGGTTCAGACATAAACTAATTCTAATCAACGGAATGTAACAGTCCCGCTTCCATTTCCTCTGTGCTGCTTAGCCCTGCCCTGGGGTAGAAGTGCTGCTTGGTGCACTGTACAGAGTGAAATAACTTGGGTAAGCATATGAATGTGGGCACCACTACCTCCTAGTTTGGGCGGTGGGAATACACCAGTGCCCTGTACTGGGTGGAATTGGCATGTATATTTATGTTTATATTAGGGATAGAATAGCCCGCTGAATTGGTTAAATGGAGAAGCCCTTGCCTGTGACATGCCCGGGCCACTGCGAACAAGGGCTTCTCCAGATGTAGCCCCTGCCTGCAATGTGCCAGGGCCCAGCCACGGAGAGGGGCTGCGCTAGGAAAAAACCCTCCGTCCCAGTTAACCAGTTAACATTTCACATCCCTAGTTTATATCCTACAATCCTGTACAGGATAGTGTGTGTATGCATGTGTGTGCGTGCGCACATGTGCGTGCGTGCGTGCATGGACATTTGTGCAATTTATATACCGCTACCCTCCACTGGAATCAGTGTGTGTGTGTGTGTGTGTGTGTGTGTGCAAAGGTGCGCATTTCTACAGCACTTCCATGTATGGGATGTAATCCCTTTATGTGTGTGCAGGAACCTCTGCAGTCTCTTGGATGGAATCAGAGCTGCTTATTCATGTGTCATGTGCCCTATATGGCATACAGCTAATGGTGATTCTCCTTTAACTCAAATGGCCGAGGTCTGTGGTTTTGGAAAAGGAGGATGTGCAGTCTATCTCCAGTTTTGCTGGGCTGTTCTGGGCAACTGTAGTGCACAGCACAGTGGCACCTGCGAGGTTCCTTAGCTGCCTACATTTTTATCACAACTTGGAGAAGGATTTGGCCTTCACCCTCTGGCTAGCTCAGAATTCGGTGTTGAGACAGACTTGCCGCCGAAATAGTGAAGAATTTTGCTTCTTAACAGTGTGTCTTCTCTTTCAGATTACCAGCTGACCAGTGCGGAGTTATCCTCTCTCCCAGCGTTCAGTTCACCCAGCGGGTTGTCGCTCGGCAACATCTCTGCCTGGCAGCAGCAACAGCAGCAGCAACAACAACAGCAGCAGCAGCAGCAGCAGCAACAACAACAACATCTTGTTCCTGTATCGCTAAGCAACTTAATGTAAGGGAAATGGAGGCGTATTACTTACCTGATATTGCTTTAGAGAACATCCATTCTGACCACTGGCTATTATGTGTCATCCAGATACCACTGTATAGAACCTTACCACGCCAGAGTTTGATCTTTTGGCATTTGATTTAGCAGGTCTAGTTAAGACCTGCTAAATTGAACACTGAGGGTGGCTTCAGTCCGCGCCGTGGCAGTCGCAAGGAATAAGGGAAGCTGACAGGAACATTTGCTTCTGTCGGCCTCCCTCTGTGAAGATAGCACTGAGCTCGGCTTAAGGTAACCCAACTCCAGCTATGTATTTTATGTATTTTACGTAGCTGGAGTTGTGTGCCTTAACCCGACATTCCAGTTATAGTTTAGACCTGGCCTTAGATGAAAACATTTCAGTCCTCAGTCAGTCCATTTCCTCAAATGCATGCTGTAGCTGTGTATGTCGACAGCAGTTAGTCATGATTTGAGGAGGCAGTTTTGCCTAGTGGTTGGAGCAAAGAGGTCATGGAACCATCACTCCTCAGTTCCATGCCTGGTTGTTCCAAAGACTCCCAAGTCACTTCCTTACTCTGTGCCTCAATTTTCCTCTAGTAAAATGAGGAGAATGAGACTGATCTACCTTACAAGGCCTTAATTTAATGTATTTTTAAATTCTGGTCTGGAGAGTTCTCTAGAAGGGCAAATTCTTATTCCTTTAGTGTTTAAGATGGTTGACATTTTGGTGAAAAATGAAAAAAACATAGTTCTCTACTGAAATCCCACTATGGTGCCTCATGGGAGTTACAGTTCGGATGCTCCCATTCTGTATAGACAAGGCTCCCTCAACAGACTACATTTCCCATGGTGTAACTTGGGCTTCCTCCTTGTGAGGGGACGCAGTTGCATCATGGGAGTTCTTGGCCATGGTGCTTCATGGGAGATGTAGTCAAGAGCAGGGGCATGAGGAAACCAAGCTACACTCCTGTGGGGTATCACAGAAGCTGTCCGAATAGAAATATTTCAGTGTTTTGTCTGAAAAAACGAGTTTGGTCTTTGTGATGACAATGAACGCTTTCTGCAGAAAGTGGACATTGTTTTGCAAAAACGAAAACCTGATTTCCAACTGAAAACCTGCCAGAGCTCTAAGCATCATTGTCAGAGGGCATTGGTAGCGAACCGTGGAATCCCTGACGAGTTCAGAACCTGTGCAACCTGCTGCCTGCAGCCACTCCTGAGTAATAATAGAATAATGTTACACACTGCACTGCAGGCTACAGACAGCACCCTCATTAAGATGGTTCTGTGCTATGCCCCCAGGTTTGAGCAGCAGTGAGTCTGACTGTGGGTGGCCGATAACGAGCCCAACCAAACCAGCCTTGAACTTTGGGGAATTCTGTGTCTGAACATTGATAGGAATACCAGGGGCTTCATTAGGGTTGCCAGGTGTCCGGTATTGACCTGGACAGTCTGGTATTTTTGCCTCCTGTCCGGTAAAAAAATTCAGAAAATACTGGACATCTAAAATGTCTGGTATTTTCTGATTTTTTTTCCTTCCTGCCAGGAGGCAAAAATACTGAACACCTGGGAACCCTATGACACACTCAGCAACTGGGCCCAGCCCCCGGATCCGCTACCAGGCCCCCCAGATGTCCCCCCAACCCTGGTACCTGGTTCCACAGAGGCTTGTCTTGTGGCTGCAGCAGAAAAACAAAATGGCCATCAGCAAAAAAAACGTTTCTTAAAGGGGCTGTCCCTTTTTTTTTTGTTCAACAACTGTGGTCCCCTCCCCTCCTTATTTTTTCCTCAACAGAATTTTTTTCCAGTGTTTTTTTTTCTTTTGGGGCGGGAGGGGGGAGGAGTTTGGTATTTTTGGATAAACCATCTGGCATCCCTAGGCTTCATTTGCTATGTGGGCATGGAGTTGCCTCCCCCAGACCAAGCCCCCCTCGCAGGGTCTCAGAGCCCAGGCTATAGCCAGAGCACAGATGTCTACACTGCAATATTAGAGCCCCCACAAGCCTCAGTCAGATGACCTCAGCGGGCCGACAGCCTCGCAGGGCCTTTGGGCAAAGTGGGAGTGGGGGAACTTCTCTGCACCTGGAAGGGGCGGGGCCTTGTGTGGAAGGGGCGGGGCTGTGGCTAGGCAGCCTTCAGCATCACCTGGAGAGTGCTGCACCTCCCCCAAGCAGCCCTGAGTGCTGCCCCACACGCTCCGGCCACAATTTAAAGGGCCCTGGATGCTGCTACGGTATCAGTGGTGGCACATGGGAACTCTGGGCCTTTTTGTACCACTAAGCCTCCCCTTTGCCCCTCCTCCCCCCATCAGCAGGCCTGACTGACCTGGATCAACTGTGCCCATGCCATGAGTTTTTTATAGGGCAGATCATACCTTTAGGGAGAAGACATTTCCTGCCCCAAATATCTTGCAATCGAACTAGACGAAATAACAGTTGTTGTCCTCCTTCCCAAATGGGAAACTGAGGCCCAGAAAGTAAGGGCTTGTCTACATGGGGAGGCTGACCCAAACAGCTCTTGTGCAATAGCTCCCCTTGTGGCCCCTTTATTTTGCACTAAATAGGGGGCTTCCAAAGCTGAGTACTTACTCGTGGAATGAGGAGTAACAGTAGTTCGAATTAGGATCTTTAATTCGAACTACCCACTCCGTGCCGCGTGTAGCCGCGGGCACGGAGTTTGGACTAAGGGGGATTTAAAAATGGTGTCGCCCGGGAACATGCAAATGAAGCCCGGGATATTTAAATCCCAGGCTTCATTTGCAACTCTGCTTGCCCTAATTACCCTACCTAGCTCCAACAAACGAGCTAGTGTAGACGTACCCTAATAGAGCATCTGCGCAGGGAGCCATTGCAGTCCACATTGTATCTAGGAGTGAGCCTCTCAGCCAGAGACCCATGCCCGGGCACTCAAAAATGCTGCAGAGATGGCGGGACCCGTGTTCTCAAGTCACAGCCAGGGTGGGCTTGACAGTCGGAGTGACAGTCTCAGAACATCTTGATCCCAGGAGCAGCGCAGACACGACTTGGGTGGCTTGTGCTAGGTCATGCAACACCTAGGGGGCAGAGGCAGGGATGGGACATTGCCAGAAGTCTAGCCTGGGTGTGCAGCTGCCTTTGGGGGAGTCAAAGGCAGGCAGCCAGTTTGATCAACCCACGGTCAGGCCGGGCTGTCAGCAGAATGAGCAGGAGGCTTGTGTGTGCAGGGGCATGTGACCTTCCTCAGTCCTTGGCCTGAACTGTCGTGTTGGGCTGTCTGCTGGGAAGGTTCATTCACCACCAACAATGACTGTTTACCATGTTACGTGGAATCTGGACAAGCCTGATCCTCAATCCCCAGTCCAGACTTTTCGCTCCTCAAAACACTTTTCATTTGTAATGAGCCTCTGGGGGGTAAATCAGCAGAGATGGAGCCACCCTGGTTGACATCAGCGCAGGATTTGGCCCTGTTGCTGTAAAAAGATCACGTTATCTGGTTGAGCACTGTGCAGAAATCTCTAGCACGGTCCGGAGCAATGAAAGGGATCCTGGTGTGTTCAGACTGTAGGAGAATGTTGCAGTCAGCTGGCGACTGTGTGTGTGTGTGTCACTGCCATCTACTGGTCAGAATGAGACCTGAGTGTTCAAGGCCCCCTCCGTTGAATAATTGCTCACTTTATAATTAGGATGATTGTTTACTTGTGTTACCACCGTAAGTAGGTGCCCTCTTCATGAGCCAGCAGCCCTCCAGTGTGCCCGGTGCTGTACAAACCCAGAACGGTGCTTAGAGGACCTAATCAAGGTCCCCCTACCTTTTGCTAGATGCTGCAACAGCGGCACCATGGTAGTGCATCCGTGAAGACACGACCTGCAGCACTGTGAGGAGCTCTCCCCTTGGCACGGCATGCCACCTCCCTGAGAAGGGTTAGGTTGGCAGGAAAATTCGAGTGCTGCCTCTACTAAGGATATCAAATCCTATTTAGTCGGTTAACTGGTTAAACATTATGTTTAACCAATTAACTGTTTAAAAAGGGGCGAGCAGAGGTGCCACTCCAGCTCGGGTTGGGCTGGAGCTGACCCCCACTAACAGGGTGATGTTTACTGGTTAACCAGTTTACCATTCACATCCCTAGTTTCAACCAGGGAGTAGGTCAGTTCCACTGGGTTGTTCAGAGGGTTGGATTTTCAGTGGCTCTGAGTTACATAGCTATATTGACCTACTTTCCTCATTAACCAAAGAGCTGGCTGCCCAATTGATCTGGCTAGAAAATCGTTTCTTTCCGCCATGTGAAACGTTTCAATGAATATTTTGTGATTTTCAGCTACAGTTTTCTGTGGCGCTGTTGTGGCCGTGGGACCCCTCCTTATTTTTTCCTCAACAGAATTTTTTTCCAGTGTTTTTTTTTCTTTTGGGGCGGGAGGGGGGAGGAGTTTGGTATTTTTGGATAAACCATCTGGCATCCCTAGGCTTCATTTGCTATGTGGGCATGGAGTTGCCTCCCCCAGACCAAGCCCCCCTCGCAGGGTCTCAGAGCCCAGGCTATAGCCAGAGCACAGATGTCTACACTGCAATATTAGAGCCCCCACAAGCCTCAGTCAGATGACCTCAGCGGGCCGACAGCCTCGCAGGGCCTTTGGGCAAAGTGGGAGTGGGGGAACTTCTCTGCACCTGGAAGGGGCGGGGCCTTGTGTGGAAGGGGCGGGGCTGTGGCTAGGCAGCCTTCAGCATCACCTGGAGAGTGCTGCACCTCCCCCAAGCAGCCCTGAGTGCTGCCCCACACGCTCCGGCCACAATTTAAAGGGCCCTGGATGCTGCTACGGTATCAGTGGTGGCACATGGGAACTCTGGGCCTTTTTGTACCACTAAGCCTCCCCTTTGCCCCTCCTCCCCCCATCAGCAGGCCTGACTGACCTGGATCAACTGTGCCCATGCCATGAGTTTTTTATAGGGCAGATCATACCTTTAGGGAGAAGACATTTCCTGCCCCAAATATCTTGCAATCGAACTAGACGAAATAACAGTTGTTGTCCTCCTTCCCAAATGGGAAACTGAGGCCCAGAAAGTAAGGGCTTGTCTACATGGGGAGGCTGACCCAAACAGCTCTTGTGCAATAGCTCCCCTTGTGGCCCCTTTATTTTGCACTAAATAGGGGGCTTCCAAAGCTGAGTACTTACTCGTGGAATGAGGAGTAACAGTAGTTCGAATTAGGATCTTTAATTCGAACTACCCACTCCGTGCCGCGTGTAGCCGCGGGCACGGAGTTTGGACTAAGGGGGATTTAAAAATGGTGTCGCCCGGGAACATGCAAATGAAGCCCGGGATATTTAAATCCCAGGCTTCATTTGCAACTCTGCTTGCCCTAATTACCCTACCTAGCTCCAACAAACGAGCTAGTGTAGACGTACCCTAATAGAGCATCTGCGCAGGGAGCCATTGCAGTCCACATTGTATCTAGGAGTGAGCCTCTCAGCCAGAGACCCATGCCCGGGCACTCAAAAATGCTGCAGAGATGGCGGGACCCGTGTTCTCAAGTCACAGCCAGGGTGGGCTTGACAGTCGGAGTGACAGTCTCAGAACATCTTGATCCCAGGAGCAGCGCAGACACGACTTGGGTGGCTTGTGCTAGGTCATGCAACACCTAGGGGGCAGAGGCAGGGATGGGACATTGCCAGAAGTCTAGCCTGGGTGTGCAGCTGCCTTTGGGGGAGTCAAAGGCAGGCAGCCAGTTTGATCAACCCACGGTCAGGCCGGGCTGTCAGCAGAATGAGCAGGAGGCTTGTGTGTGCAGGGGCATGTGACCTTCCTCAGTCCTTGGCCTGAACTGTTGTGTTGGGCTGTCTGCTGGGAAGATGCATTCACCACCAACAATGACTGTTTACCATGTTACGTGGAATCTGGACAAGCCTGATCCTCAATCCCCAGTCCAGACTTTTCGCTCCTCAAAACACTTTTCATTTGTAATGAGCCTCTGGGGGGTAAATCAGCAGAGATGGAGCCACCCTGGTTGACATCAGCGCAGGATTTGGCCCTGTTGCTGTAAAAAGATCACGTTATCTGGTTGAGCACTGTGCAGAAATCTCTAGCACGGTCCGGAGCAATGAAAGGGATCCTGGTGTGTTCAGACTGTAGGAGAATGTTGCAGTCAGCTGGCGACTGTGTGTGTGTGTGTCACTGCCATCTACTGGTCAGAATGAGACCTGAGTGTTCAAGGCCCCCTCCGTTGAATAATTGCTCACTTTATAATTAGGATGATTGTTTACTTGTGTTACCACCGTAAGTAGGTGCCCTCTTCATGAGCCAGCAGCCCTCCAGTGTGCCCGGTGCTGTACAAACCCAGAACGGTGCTTAGAGGACCTAATCAAGGTCCCCCTACCTTTTGCTAGATGCTGCAACAGCGGCACCATGGTAGTGCATCCGTGAAGACACGACCTGCAGCACTGTGAGGAGCTCTCCCCTTGGCACGGCATGCCACCTCCCTGAGAAGGGTTAGGTTGGCAGGAAAATTCGAGTGCTGCCTCTACTAAGGATATCAAATCCTATTTAGTCGGTTAACTGGTTAAACATTATGTTTAACCAATTAACTGTTTAAAAAGGGGCGAGCAGAGGTGCCACTCCAGCTCGGGTTGGGCTGGAGCTGACCCCCACTAACAGGGTGATGTTTACTGGTTAACCAGTTTACCATTCACATCCCTAGTTTCAACCAGGGAGTAGGTCAGTTCCACTGGGTTGTTCAGAGGGTTGGATTTTCAGTGGCTCTGAGTTACATAGCTATATTGACCTACTTTCCTCATTAACCAAAGAGCTGGCTGCCCAATTGATCTGGCTAGAAAATCGTTTCTTTCCGCCATGTGAAACGTTTCAATGAATATTTTGTGATTTTCAGCTACAGTTTTCTGTGGCGCTGTTGTGGCCGTGGGAGCCCCACGGTATGAAAGAGATGAGGTGGGCGGGGCAACATCTTTCATTGGATCTGCTGTTCTTGATGAAAGAGACAAGCTTCACGCTCCACAGCTTGGACTCTCATTAGACAAGACAAATGAGGGCGGGACGTCTGGGGGTGGGGGAAAGACCCACAGAGAGAGAGAGAGAGGAAGTGGCAGGCTCACGCAGGTTGGCAACATGGCCAGGAACAGATCCCAGGTCTTCTGGTTCCCAGTCTAGCGCATGCTCTTTGCCTATTACTGCTGTTCCAAGCCCACTAGCAGTGCAAGCTATGTTGCTGGCAATAACTGTGTAGTGAGGGCTAGCAGCTTTCTGGCCTTGGAATGATCAAATCATCCAGTAGCCCAGTTGAGACTTTTAGGGAGTAGCATCTCCTAGACATAATGGCTCCTTTAGGTTGCTCCTGCAGCATAAATGGGCCTTAGCGGGGCGGGAGGATGCCTGGTACAGTGGTCTTCTGCTAAGTCATTAGGTTGGGCTTTCAGAGACTTGGGTTCTTGTGCTGAGTCTGGGTGATTTGGGAGCCAGCGACTTCCTTTCTCTGTCTCCGGTTCACCATGTAGACCAGCGGGGGCAACTTGAGGGCTGCATGCAACCCAGTGGGGTTCTTGGTGTGGCCCATGAGATATTTTGTTGGCCCTTGTCCATGCACAGGGTTGCCAGATTCTGCTGTTTTTCATCCACATGTTTTGGTTTTCCTACCGACATGCCTGAAGGAACAGGCCCGCAGAGCAAGGTCACGTGACATGAGGCGGGGGCTGATTCCACGCAACACCGACTGGGAGCGCTGGGGGCTCCCTCTGCAGCCAGTCCCAGCGCTGCGACCGTTCCATCCTCGCACATTCAAGGGACGGAATCAGAGTTAGCAAAACGACCCCCTCCCGAGAGAGCGTCTTGGTTACGACAATCTGGTGGCCCATTGAGATGAAGGAGGCCACTCACACCTTAGCCTTGGTTGCCTCTCACTGGTGTAGACTAATAATATTGAACTGCACTGAGATGGATAAGATCTCGGAATTGCTGTAACAGAAAAGGCCTTTACTAATCAACATTTCTCTCTCCCCCTTTCTCCATCTGTTTCTTTTTTACCTTCTCTGCGATTGTCTCGTCCTCCTTTCCTAACCCGTGTGCGTATGCCTATGTTTTCTCCCCTTCCTCCCTTCCCATTCTTGCCTCTCGTCTTCCCCCATTCCCTTCTTGTCTCCTGCCTCCCCTTTCCCTCTCTCCGCTCTCCGTCCCTCCACGGTTGCAGACAAGGGAGCCACTTATCTCACACCACCACGTTGACTGTCAACACCAACCCCAACATCAGCATCAAGTCGGAGCCGGTCTCGCCCAATCGGGACCGTAACACTGCCACGCCGCTCAGCTCTTTCCCACACCAGAGCCGGCATGAGCCAACGGGGCGCTCACCCGTCGACAGCCTCAGCAGCAACGCCAGCTCCTACGAAGGCAACGATCGGGACGACCCCACCCGAGCTGATTTCGGCTCGTCCCTTGGCCTCCTGAGACCCACGCCCGAGGCCGAGGGAGAGAGCCCGTCCGTAAAGCGCGTGAGGCTGGATATCTGGCTGGGAGGGGGAGGGGGAATGGGTGGAGCTACACGGGTTCGGGGTGGGGGTGGGGGACTTATTATAAACTGCCTGAGAAATAGCTTTAGGATTTTGTAGGCTTTCGTTCTAGCGCCGCAGGCGACGTTTGCAGCACAGAAGGCACTCCACGGCTGACAGCAGCTTAGACTCAAGTATAAGAAGCGGGGTGGGGTGGGGAAACGTGTCACCAAAAAAAAAAAAAAAGTCACTTATCCCAGCGAACAAGTGTTGGGCATTGCGTGCTAGGTTGTTGTCGATAAAATTCCACCCACTGGCGCTCAGGAGTTGGGGAGAGCTTGACACACCTGCCCAGTTGATAAGATCAGACCTGATTCTGAGAGAAGAGTGCCTTTGACGAGAACTACACATAGGAATTCTGTGTGGACGCAGGGAATTTCTTATGCACGCACGTACATGTGCACATTTTTGCTCCGATTCTGCAAGGCTCTGTGCCCTCCCAATTCCCATTCATGTGCCGGTCCTTTTCAGCCAAATTCAAATAGAGCTGAGGGGTTTTGCACCAATCAGAGGGTGGCGTTGAACACTGCTTCAGTGCCACTCCAATAGCATAGCACTTCAGTGAGACTTAAGCGATGCCTCTCTTTCCTGGCCCCTCAGCACCACAGGTGGCTGAACTGGTAACCTACCAATGCTGTGGATCAGATGCCGTGTCTCTGCACTGTTTGTAGCTCTTGCTCAGGGCCCAGCATGCTCAGGAAGATCAGACTGCTGATCAATATCACAGGAGGGTTGGCTTCTTCTAATCAGTTTCAACTCCAATTATGTTGCTAAATTAACAATGAATAATAATAATCATCTGTTCAAAGAGAGCTTTCGCAGTGCAATTTATAGGGTCAGATTGTGAGCCAGCGTAAGTCACCCTAGCTGCATTGTATAATTGGCAAGTAGTCTGGCAAAGGTCAGTGTCGTCCGTGGCACTAAAAGGTGACTTTGCACTGCCAGAACCATATAAAGGGACCTTAGTGTAAACGAGAATCAGGCCCTTGATTTTTAGGGCTTTAACCGGGAATTGAGATGAAATTGAATGAAAGAAAACATCCCCTCTCGTAGATCATCAGATTTGTGCCAACCATTTTTGCAAATGGCAGGTTTTCGAACACCCCACTGAGGTCTAGAGCACTGCATGCTGGAAATAATGCACATACCTGAAAAATGTAAGGGGGGCAGATCATATCAATATTTATAATAAATCAGTTTCACCCACCAAAGATGGGGGGAAAAGATAAATGTGTAAATCTTACCTCAATTAAAATTGATACTAATCAGATGTTGGCGAAGCTGTAGATTTAAATTAAAGCTGATAACACACAGGAAAAATGATTCACGGACACTTATAAGAATTTTTTAATTTAAATTCTAATTTTTTTTTATTGAAATGTGAAGAATTCTGAACAGCATGTCAGGAATATTTGCAAAATAGCCGCCAACTTGTTTTCTTCCCCAAAATGCAAATTTTTTTAACAGTAACTTGAAATTAGAAAGTTCTGGTCAATTTTATTGAAGAATAAGGGGAAAATGTATGAAAAATTCATTGAACATTGTTTTCCTTCCCCTTCCTCTTCATCAAAATCCAGAATTTTTGAAATGCCTAAAATTCTGTAGCCTGGATTATCGCAAAATGGGTGGGAGAAGATTGCAAACCTTCTATGGAGGGTTTATTTTTGAAATATTGAAATCTTGATTAAAATTTTTGTTGTGATTGGAAACATTCCAACTTGGTGTTTTACATTAGGAGTTCAACTGAGGGAAGTCAGAGCAGTAGAAACCGGGGAGGGCATCACCCTGGGATATTTTCTTCCTGTACAAGCCATTCAAGCTGATTTCTCCTGTCACAATGGCTCAGGCAGTTAGCTACATCACAGATGGGACAGAACATACATCTTCATCCCTTCCTGACAATATTACCACCAATGTACTGTACTGACCCGACCCTAATATACTGTAATCGGCTCAGTTAAAGCTTTATGCGCTCCAGCGAGTAGAAACACACACGTTGTGGAACTGTGTAAGACTTTACTCGAGTCTTGATACAAACAGAGGCTGATAAAACCATGATCAGGGTTGTGAATTAGCAAGACAAAAAATACATTCTTTGATCTGACGTCCCATTGGGGTCCCTGGGCACTTTGCCACTGATTTCAGTGGCCGCAAGATGCCTCAGAGTTGAGCAGAGAGAGAGCTTATTGTGTTTAGTGCTTATTCATGTAAGGTAAAATTCAACCTAAGCAGAGTCCCGTAATGCCCTATGTGGAGGAAGAGGGCATTTCTGGTGGTGTATATAGATGGGGAGGGTGTATCTGCATGGGCTGAATTCCAGCCACCTAACCAAATCCCTGGCTTTGATGAAGTAATTGGTACAATGCTTCCATTCATTTTAGTGGGCCAGGAGTCGTATGGTCTCCCTAAGCAACAACGAGGAGTCCTGTGGCACCTTAGAGAGATGTATTGGGGATAACTCACTTCATCTGACCAAGTGGATTCTCCCCCTAAAAGCTAATGCCCTAATAAATCTGCTAGTCTCTGGCTATGTCTAGACTGCAAGCCTCTTTCGAAAGAGAGCGTCTAGACTGCACGTTGAACTTTCGAAAAAGCGGCTTGCTTTTTCGAAAGAAAGCATCCAGTGAGTCTGGATGCTCTCTTTCGAAGAAGCCCTATTTACATTGAAGAACACCTTCTTTCGAAAGAGGAACTTTCGAAAGAAGGCGTTCTTCCTCGTGAAATGAGGTTTACCGCCCTCGAAAGAAAAGCCGCGTTCTTTCGATTTAATTTCGAAAGAACGCGGCTTGAGTCTGGACGCAGGTGAGGTTTTTTCGAAAAAAGGCTACTTTTTTCGAAAAACCCCCTGAGTCTGGACACAGCCTCTGAGTGCCACCAGACTACGCGTTGTTCCTGGAGGCACCGACTAACCTGGTGACCCCTCTGAGACTTTTTGGCCGAAACAGTTACCCGACGGGGCATTTGCCCCCTTTGGTGACTGCCTCGAGGGGGCGTGTGTGGAATGAGAAGATCTGCTCAAAATCAGGCGATGAAGCTGTGGGCCGCAGAGCACTCCAGCTCACCCCGTTGCTCTGCTGGTACCCCGAAAGGGTAAGCACAGCACCTGCTGCGTGGGTAACAGCAGTGGTTTTTAAATGGCAGCAGCTGTGCATTCCAGCCAGAAACACCCTCTCTCCCGACACCCTCTACTCCTTTAATGTCCCATCCCATCCTGGTTTTTATTTTGCCCTCCAATTGCCAACAGGCAGGAGCGCATTTTTCACCCTTCACCCCGCCCCATGATTCCTTTCCCAAAATTATATAAACCAAAGGGCGAAACCCTTGCTGGTGTCCATTGGTGCATGATGATGGAGCTACGCCCAGTTGACACCAGCCGAGGGACTGGCAAAATGCAAAGGGGCGAATAGTGAAGGAGGCATTTCATTAGTCATTTCCAGCAGGTGTTTTCTCCCCATGGTTATTGGTGCGTGCTGCCCTTCCGGCTCATTGGCCAGCTGGCAAACGCTGGTAAGGCAGTCTCCTCTCTCATTATTAGGTAAGATCGTCAAATGCTTTCTTCTCCAGCAGTGAATGCTGGGTAGCTTCCCCCCTCCTCCCTACAGCTCCTGGGGGTCAGCGGATGGAAACGAAAAAGAAAGCCAGTGAAGCTAGCTCAGGAATCTTGTACTGAAGGGCTTTTGGGAACTCCTGCAGATAACAGTTCAGTCCCTCCTTTCACCTGCATTTGTGCATGGATGAGCAGTAGAATCAGGACCTAGTTTATTCCCTAATCTGCTCTCCCATCCTGCCTTTTATGTGTATCCTGTGTTTGGGCTCATGGTCCTTCCTCTCCTCTCCCCTCTCCCCCCAGACCTGCAAGGGCATCTCAGTTCTGCACCAGTGTTGACATACCCTGGCATATGAAAGCTTTGTTTTCACTTGGTTCATTACCTATGTCAGTGGAGTTCTGCTGCCATTTGTGGCTGCTCCTTGAAATAAGTGAATTCTTTTTCAGCGTCTGCCAACTCCGTGGCTTAGAGATCTGCCCAGAAATACTTCAAAGGGGAGGAGGAAAAAGTCATGGTAGGGTTTATGAATGTAGCTTTTTGCAACCCACCATTATTCCAGAAGCCTCTAGACTTTTAGGGCATGTCTACACTAGGAAATAATTTTGAAACAACTAAATTTGAAATAACAACTCCCGAAATAAAATCGAAATAACGTTATTCCCCAAGGAAAGCAGAAGGACAGACTTCGAAATAACCAGCCTGTTATTTGAAAATAACAGGCTTAGTAGTGTAAATGCTCTGCTTATTATTTCGAAAGAAGAGGGGTTATTTTGAAATAACTCCCTAGTGTAGACCAGGGCTTAGACTACTTCCAATTCAACAGGAGATGGAAGATTGTGAGAAAGGCCTGTTGAAATTAGAGTAGCTAAAGAATAAGAATAATAAAGCACTACAATGCGAGAGTTTCAAAAACGGAACATTTTCATTTGTTTTTCAACATTTCCCGCAACATTTTTTTTCAATGGGACCTTTTTTTCCCCCTATGGTGTGCCATTTTTCAAAATTCTCCATTAGAAAATTGAAAAGTTTCTGTTTTTAAATGAACATTTTTGGCTTAGGACATTTTCAGTTTTGTAAAAGCCCTTCCATGCAACTGTGCTGGCCAACCAAAATTAGCAATAAGGGGAGGGGGGGAAGCGCCCCCCCAACCCAAAAATAAACAGTTACATGAAAAAGCAATGCAATAAAGGCAGGTACTCTTAAGAGGGGAAAGGGAAAATGTAAACAAAATCTCCTTTTGAGAGATGAAATTTGCCTTTCTTTTTTAGAGAAAAAACATTTTATGTTGAATTAATTTTTAATTAAATGATTTTTGCCTAGTTCTCCTGGATCTCAAGCCTCTCTAAATGTATCTGTGCCTTTAAAATAGGCTCTCCTTGTCAGATTTCAGTTCATTTCCCCAAGGGAAACAAACCATCATCATAAAAGCCAACATTGCAACTGGTGCAA